CACCACGCTCAACCAGTGAGCCGACCGGTCTCTATATGGGATCCGAACCCTCGGCGGGAGCGCCGCCCTCTACCAAGTGCGCCACCGGGCCAGCCCATAAACAGTAAAACTTTTAAAGCCATAAAAATTGAAGTAAAATTTTCAGTTAAAAAAGTTAGCTTCTCGTTAAATAAGCATTGCATTGCAGTTAAGGAAAAAATAATAATGTTAAATTTAAAATTGTTTGCAGAAATGACACTGGAGTTTTTGTGTCAGACATCGTCAAAGGAGGAATTGCAGATGCCGATGGGAGGCTGATGCAGGGAGACCAGATATTAATGGTGAATGGAGAAGATGTTCATAATGCCACCCAGGAAGCTGTTGCTGCTTTGCTAAAGGTAAAAGTCTAATGCCAAAATAATTTTGTGTAATAGTGTAGAAGAAGAAAGAAAATTTAACATTGGCTATTATAGTTAAATTACTACTGACTTCTGTTTATTTAAAGTGTCATCTCAAATAAAACCTATTGTAAGTAAGATATCATATTTCAGTGACAAATTTCTAAATAGTAAATTTATCATTAGCTGTTTATTATTTTGTTATATATTTATTTAGTGTTAGTAAGAATTATGAACTGAATACCTGTAATATTAATAAATCTTTTAAGTTGAGTATTGGTATTGCTATTGCTGCTTGTGTTATTATTTCTATTAATTTTAATGTTTTTAAAAAGCTGTTTTTCATAAAGGATTGGAGGTAGCTTTGCCTATGATAATCCCGAAAGGAAGATGTCTTTCAAAAACTTAGTCTTGAAGAGCAAAATATGTTCCTAAAGATGATTATAGCATTTTATTTAAACATTTCCATAAAACAACCACTCCTCCAGTGTTCCCTAGGCACAGTAACCTTGGAAGTTGGAAGAATCAAAGCCAGTCCATTTCATTCTGAGAGGAGGCCTTCTCAAAGCAGCCAGGTGGGTAGCTGTGGAAGTCATCAGGGTGATGCAGTCCACATGCCCAGATGACTCATAGATGGCCCTAACTGGGGGTCTGACCAGGGTTAGGTACGCAGGTCTGGCTCTCTGGAAGCGTGGTTCTCTAGGGGCAGGGTTTGAGATAGGAAAGAAGAAAATATGAGAGTGGGCAGGTAAGCAAGGTGTAGTCTCAATTAATTTGTAAATCATTCTAAGGAACTTGATTTTAAGCATTCTTCTTTTCTGATGTGATTCTCTTTCCATAATCTCACAAGTTAACCACCTAATGTATGTAAAGCTTATCAAGCTTAACATATATTTTAAGTATTTTATAACAAACAACAGTGTTCAACTGAAAGAATCCCATATACACTAACCATGTGCAAAAATATGATGTTAAAACACAATGGAATACGATTCAACCGTAACAAAGAATGTAATCCTGTCATTTGCAGCAACATGGATGAGCCCAGAGGTCATTATGTTAAGTGAAATAAGCCAGGCACAGCAAGATAATTACTGCATGTTCTTATATATGTGCAGAGGCTAAAAAAGTTGACCTCATATAAGTAGAGAGTAGAATAGTGGTTATTAAAGGCTGGAAAGTGTAATGGGGAGGGGGATATAGGAAGAGGTTGGTTCAAGGGATACATAATTACAGCCAGGTAGGAAGAATAAGTTTTAGTGTTCTATAGCACTGTAGCATGACTATAATTACAACAATTTATTGTATAATTTCAAATAGCTAGAAGAGAGGATTTTAAATGTTCTCAACACAAATGATAAATATTTGAGGCAATGGATATACTAATTATCCGGATTTGATCATTACACCTTGTATACATGTATCGAAATGTCACTCTGCACCCCATAAATATGTATAATTATGTGTTAATTGAGAACAATAAATAAATAAAAAGAGATAGATATGAAAAAACAGGATGTTTAATAGTTTGACTCTTGGCAAGCCTCTCTCCTCAGTCTTGTCTTCTGATGACAGAAGCCCATTTTTATCAGTCTGTTCTTAAAAATCCCTCACTAACTTCCCTAATTACTGCCATTAGTTTCCTGTTAACTGTCCCTAATTTTACAGTTTTTAAGACCTATTCTTTGTACAACATCAGTTGTTTAAATTCAGAGAGGATTAGCTTGATTGAGATTATGATATTCCACTAAAATTTTAGGTAGGTTAGAATCAATCTCATCTACCCTTTTAGCTTCAGTTTATTTTTGTCACTAGGGACATTCTTCCTTAAAAACAGCAAGAAAATAAATCAGTAGAAACTACATTTAAATTGCTTTTCACATTATCGCATGCCACTGTTGCCTAGTAGGTATTTCTCTCTAGATGCACTAAAAGAATTGAATTCTGAAATAAGTGGCATTTAGGAAGTACTATTATTTCCATAACTTTCTAAAATGTTTGTTGAGTATTTGTAGGTGAGTGAAGGCAGCCTGTCATCTTTCACTTTTCCACTTTCTGGATCCGGTACATCTGAGTCGCTGGATGGTAGTTCAAAGAAGAATGCAGGTAAGATTGGTTAAATATTTTAAGCATGATGTATAGGTTTGAATTTTGGCTGTCAACACTGATTTTTTTTTTCTTGTTTACCTCTGAGCTCTTTTTCTTGCAGAACCATCACATATCCTAGTATAGGTGCAAAATGTGTGTTGGCAAAAAATCTGAACAACATGAAGTTGTGCCTATGGCAGCTTTTCTCATTATTTACCCTACAAGATATACAAAACATTAGAATCAGGATTCTGTAATTTTTTCTTACTAAGCAGATTGCTGTATTTGATTTTACTCCGTTTCATTGTTTAATGTAACACCAATAAATCAGAAGATGCCATTCAGTGAAGCCTTCTTTTTCCATGAAGATTGCGAAAATTTTGAGAAAATTAATGGGATCCTCCTGTGTTTTAATTACATCAAATCATGATGCAGAGGGGTTTTTTTGGCTTGGTACATTGGTTGAGAGTTGTTCAAATTGAAGAAACTAACCATATGGCAGTCTCTGTTTGCACTGTGACTAATATTCTAGAAATTTAGGCACGTAAGTCCATAGATAATTACATCAAATCATGATGCAGAGGGGTTTTTTTGGCTTGGTACATTGGTTGAGAGTTGTTAAAATTGAAGAAACTAACCATATGGCAGTCTCTGTTTGCACTGTGACTAATATTCTAGAAATTTAGGCACATAAGTCCATAGATTTTTTTTTTTTAGTGCATCCATGACTTTATTCCTTTCAGCTGTGCACATGTGTCTTTCTATCTAAAACACATTCTGTCCTTGACTCATTCAAAGTGTATTATATAATCAGTACTTAAAATGAGAAGGAAGACATGGGATGGTATGTGCATTTTTCCAACTGAAGAAATAGACTTCCTGTGTGAGACAAATCTAGTTCTGTGTCCTAGTAACTTTGAGCACCCTCTTGCAAAAATAAAAAGAAACACAACTTAGGGTATCCCATTTAGTTCCATCCAGCTCCATGAATTGACTAAAATTTTAATGAAAATGAAAAGTGCTTTAATAACCATATTTTATCTTTCTTGCCTTTACAGTGGCATCTGAAATACAGGGATTAAGAACAGTTGAAATAAAGAAGGTAACTTGGGAGAGAGAGTATAAACTCTAGTGTCAACATAAACTCTAGTGTCTTTTGAAACATCTGCATATGTATTTTCTTGTTAACCATCTCACTGTTTTATAGTACCCATCTGAAAAAAAATATGTATTTCTCACAGTGGAAAGCACAATGCAGTCTTTGTTGAATTTCCTGGTCATATACTTCTTTGAAAAGTCATTGTTTGTATATTCTTTATTGCCAAAAATGTCATCAACCAGACCCCACACAAAATAGTACCCTGCCTATCTCACTTCTCATACTGATAAATAAGCCTTTCCCTTCAAGAGATATTTCCTTGTTCTTCTGAAATAGATTCCGCTGACAGCCATGCACACAAGAGAAGGTAAAAGGAGCTATAATTTATTGAGCTGTATGCTGAACACTCTGACACTTCATGTCATCATCATGCCACTTAATATCCACTGTAGCCCTCTGTGACAGGCACTGTTATCTGCATTTTGTAAATGAATTCTAGGGATTTATTGAGAGGAATGGACTTTTCTAGGTCACAGCATTTTTAAGTGTAGGTTCCTGGATTTGAACACAGGTCTCTCTGATTCCAAAATTGTGGTCTTTTCACTTTGTGAGTTTACCTGCTTTTCAGAAGTCCCATAACATAATGTTTATTTAGCACATCTTGATTTCTTATACTTCTTGAATGGATAACTTATTTTCCTAAGCCACACTAAGGACCTGTGTCAAATAAAATAATGCAGTTTTCTTGAGCTTCATTTTCTACCCTCACACCTAGAAGATCAGAGTTGACTATAGAATATTGTGCTACAGGATAAACAAAAGGTCAATTAAAAATATTGCTTCAACCAAAATATGATATGTGTTTTATGTCAGGGGCCTACTGACTCACTGGGAATCAGCATTGCTGGAGGAGTGGGCAGCCCACTTGGTGATGTTCCTATATTTATTGCAATGATGCACCCAAATGGAGTTGCAGCTCATACCCAGAAACTCAGAGTAAGTTTTACTAATGCTGGAGGGGTCCTAGCAAACTTAGCAAAAGTTTTTTTTTTGTTGTTTTTTTTTTGCAAACCTTTTGTATCTAGCTACCTGTTGCAAGGCAGTTTTATATATCTGCATCTGCCTTTAAATCACGTAATCCAGCCACAGCAGGGCTTGCTTTGAGTAAAAGATAATGGATATTAAAAGAAAGGAGAAATGATGTCGTGGAATGCAAATTTGCAAGTAAATGAAATGGAAGATTTATAGTTGTTTAATAAAGTTTTTATATATTTGAAACTCTGTGGAACAAGATAAAAGAAAACAAAGTATTTTCAGAACACCAGTATGAAGTGAATTGTTTTCCTTATATGTTTCATTAGTTTAAATGCCGATTTAACTTTTTTAAATTGAAAAGTATAATTTGTATTTACTTATGAACTTTGCAGAAGTTTAATGTAAATAAAACATTTAAATAATGATTTATAATGCTGTAAACTATACAGAACTTGCTACAAAGTTGAGAGATTATTCAGACACAGAGCATTAGGATGGCACTTATGCTAACTGCCTAGCTCTAAAATCATGTGAAGATCCCATTAAAACAACTCAGCTTCTCCAACTAAAATCTCTATGACCTCTCTATGCCTCAAACAGGGTCTCAGAACATGACCACCTCTTAGTTTAAGTACTGACTAGGTTGGGAATGGTTCAACATACTTTGATATCTAAATTTATGATTGACACTTAAAAACTGGTTGTACATGTAGCACAGGGTCAGCAAACTTTTCCATAGGGACAGATAGTGAGTATTTTAGGGCTTTGTGGGACATATGATTCTCTGTTGCAACTACTCAACTCTGCCCTGTGAAAGCAGCCAAATAAGCATGGCTGTCTTCCAACCAAACTTTATTAACCAAAACAGGCAGTGGGCCAGATTTGGCCCGTGGGCCTTAGTTTGCCAACTCCTGACTTGGTAAGATTATAAAAATAATAATGTCCAGAGAAATTCTGTTTTCTAAATGATATTAATATTTTATTCTTTTAATAGGAATTAACATCTTACCTAGGAGAAATGAAGGGAAGGGAACAGTGACTTTGTTTCTCTTCTTCCTCCTCCCCCGGAGACTATAGAACTGTACCATTATGTTCCTCTTCTTTCTGTGGTTGCTGCATCTTGGGCTTCTTGGAATTAATGGCTTTCTTGGTTATATTTCAGTGGCTAGTAGCAGTATATATGTGATGTGGATGGCCGAGAAGGAAATGGATTGCTCGGGTCTCAAAATCCCACTCTCCATTGCTGCTTTAGCAGATGGCTATTTCTTGCTCTCCCTTGCAGGTTGGGGATAAGATTGTCACTATCTGTGGCACATCCACTGAGGGGATGACTCACACCCAAGCAGTTAACTTACTGAAAAATGCCTCTGTCTCCATTGAAATGCAGGTAAGATTTTTATCCCAAGCACTATTTAGGATATAGATAGCCTGAGGACACATGAGCTTTGATGTTAAAGCAGTAAAAATGATTAAGTCTCTTGCTATTATTTAATTTACTGTTTCCCTGGAACATAAATGATTAAATTGAGAGCTCCAAGAAAGTACGTCTGAAACACATTCCATAACATTTTATCCTGATGCATTTGTTCTTTCATGCTTTATATCTAAGGGGCAAAAAATACAGGGCCTTAGCTGCGGATGATTAATTGCGAGAATTTTAAGTAGTATGAGTGAATGGCTTTTATTCTCAGGATCTTTACAAAATAATTACATATGAGACCATGTTTTAAAAGCATCAGAGAACTCTTTAGGATTGAATTAGTAGAATATTATCAGTGTTAGGACAGTTAAAGAAGCCTGTGGACCTTGTGAAATTTTTTCTCTTTGCTTGTATTTTGTGTTAACAAAAATGATTAAATAGACAATGAAATTCAAATTTTAATCAAATGCTCTTTTTGAAGAAAAATGACTGGTGTCTCTCTAGCCACATGAATGTGTGTTTTTTCTCTTGTACTTCTCTTATGCACAGGTTGTTGCTGGAGGAGATGTGAGTGTGGTCACAGGTCATCAGCAGGAACCTGCCAATTCTAGTCTTTCCTTCACGGGGCCGACATCAAGCAGTATATTTCAGGATGATTTAGGGTGAGTTCATATACTATGGTTCTTATATCATTTGTCACTTAAGAATCAAATCTTTCTAACAGTTGCATTCTGTCAAATGTTCCTAGAACTCACAAAGAGGTAAAAATAATAGAAGATGAGGTATGAAATACAAACACCAAGTGCTTTGAAACTGCTAAATAATTATGGCATGATTTTAGCTCATCAGAAAGAGAGTGAGTGAGCTAGCCATTTAGATAGATAGATGTGCATGCTACCACCCTTCCCACATTTTCAGCTCTGATTTCTTGGGGGGATATTTTAGTTGTGATGTCACCACCCTGTGTGACACAGAGCACGTCAACTCTATCCTTTTAAAATGTCCAGCATTGCCTACTCATTCAATATATCATTCTTTAAATTGAAAATATTCACAATATTGGGTAACAACACTTGGATACAAAAGCATTGGAAAATAGGGAGGGAGAAGAGAGGCACATTAGAATTTTTAAATAATATGATGAAGCTTCTACATGCTTAAAATTGATTTTCTCTCAGGGATTGGGAGTACTGATGTTTATGACTTACTCCATTATAGTCCCCTGAACTTTTTAGCTTTCTCAGTTTAAATATACTGGAAAAAGAATGAACTTTTCTGTGCAAAGACAACATGCCGTGAATATGTTAGTTGAAGGGAACTGTAAACGAGTAATAGAATTAGGATGTTAAGTAGGATTTCATTAGATTATGTAAATTTGAAATACTGAACACAGCATGCACTGACAATTTAAAGCATCTCAAAAATACCCATAATATACTTGCTGTCTGTAACACAGAGAATTGTGCTAGCTCTAGCGGGATGTCTGATAATCTGTAACTTACAAATTCACAGAGATAGATACATATTTTAAAAATTCAAAACCTCTTTTTTCCCTCTCTTTACTGTAGACCTCCTCAGTGCAAGTCTATTACACTAGACAGAGGACCAGATGGCTTAGGCTTCAGTATAGTAGGAGGATATGGCAGCCCTCATGGAGACTTACCCATTTATGTTAAAACAGTGTTTGCAAAGGTAAGCTTGCACATTGTAACCACCCTTTTCCTCCCAAACATTCATTAATAGGGGTCAGCAGCTGGCTTATTAGTTTATGGCCTGAGGTAATGCCAAATGGTTAACAGTTGATCATTTTCTTTCGAAACTCCCTACAGAAACATGTCATTAAATACTTTTGTCCAATTTGAGGTTTAGTTTTGTTTAAAGGAAAAGAGGCTCAAATTGAAACTCCATAGAAACTCTGAATATAAATAAAAATATTAATGAATTCTGGTTAATGAAGCCTGATTTTTTTTCTTTGAAAACAAGTTACACATGACTATCTTTTGAAAATGGGACATTTTAAATATGTATGCTGTAGATCACTGGTATTTTTTCTTTGCGTATTTTTGGTGGTGTTAAATATAAAATAGATAAAGAAAGTACATAAAATACAAATGCAAATTAACTAATAGGGCATTTATTTTACAAATTTAATTTTATTGAATAAAATAGGAAAGTAACTACTAAAAAAATATGAAGAGTATCCAGCAGCCCTGTTATTGATATAGGGAATTTAGATTAGTGCTATAGATCTTAATTTATGGAGGTTTTGTTCTGTTATTTTGGGGGAAAGAAAGTATTTTTAACCAATTTAAAGTGCTGTATCTACCTACAGCAAGCTAGCTAGCTATAGGCTTAATTTGGGAGGTTTTTTAAAAAAAGTGATTGGTATGTCCAAAAATGAAAACAGCGTTTGCTAGTGAATAGAAGAGTCATGTAAAGTGCTGTATCTACCTACAGCAAGCTAGCTAGCTATAGGCTTAATTTGGGAGGTTTTTTTAAAAAAGTGATTGGTATGTCCAAAAATGAAAACAGCATTTGCTAGTGAATAGAAGAGTCATTCAGTCTTCTTCCTCAGCCTAGGAACAATTTATTTAAGGCATGCTAGTTGGAACATATTTTAAGAATTTCATCATTATGGATTTCTCATTAACTTTTCATATTTTTAATCTTTAATTGCATAATTGTCTTTCATAAGCATGCAAGGCATGCTAGTTGGAACATATTTTAAGAATTTCATCATTATGGATTTCTCATTAACTTTTTATATTTTTAATCTTTAATTGCATAATTGTCTTTCATAAGCATGGCTTAAAATGGGGTTCTTTTTCAAACAGCAATATCTTTAATCTTAATCATAAAGAGCATGAAGAATCCATGTACCCTTGGGAAGTAAGAACCAAGACAGTTTGAGCAGCCTTTTTAAAGCTACAGAAGGAATTAGAATTAGCAGTGGGTTTTAAATTCAGGACTTGTGCCTCATCCTACCTTAGTCAACGTGCATATGGGCTTTATGCTTCTGCAAACCTTTAGTTTTTGTAGTCCTCAAGCCTTTGTCCTGTAAACTGCTTTTGTTCCTACCTAATCCTTTGTCTTCTTTCTGTGAGTCATCTTTACAGGATAGAAAGTCCTGGATACTATGAAATCGCTTCTACTAGGCAAATTCCCAAATATTTTTTATTAATTTGAGTTCCCACCAACTGCTGTGCTGAACAGCCAAAATAACATCCAACTAATCTATTGACTGCTGAATTCTCTTTCAAATTGGAATCTTGATGCTAAAACCATTTAGGGAAAGGCCTCCTTTGTGTATGTTCATCACTGCTTAATGGCTGTGGAGCACCCGTGGAGCACCGAGAGCAATGTGTGTGTACACGCAGAGCAATTTACATTCTTGTTTAGATCTTTTTCTGTTGTGTAGCTGCAAGGCAGCATTTTTTGAGAAGTAAACAAGCCGACTTTATAATTGCAGGGAGCAGCCTCTGAAGATGGGCGTCTAAAAAGGGGCGATCAGATCATTGCTGTCAACGGGCAGAGTCTAGAAGGTGTAACCCATGAAGAAGCCGTTGCCATCCTTAAGCGGACAAAAGGCACTGTCACTTTGATGGTTCTCTCCTGAATTGGCTGCCAGAATTGAACCAACCCAACCCCTCATCTCCCACTGTAAAACTGGTCTTGTGGAATACTTTCCTTTGCTGTGTTCATCAGGGTCTTCAAAACTGTAGGGGAAAAAAAATATTTAAGTTTGTTTTTCTCATAAGGAAGTGGTTTTCTAACATCATTTTTTCTTTCCTCTTGTATTCTGTGAACCTATACGTTGTATAAGTAAATCAGGTTTTTCTTTGTGAAGATATCTAACATTTTATAGTCACACAGGCAAAAATTGTTACAAGCTAAACTGGTTAGTAGAAACAAAAATAATTCTAAAGCTAATCAAAGAGAAATGGCTTCACTAAATTAGGGTGAAGAAGAAAATGTCAAGGAATTTTTTAAAAATAGCCTCAATTTGGCTATCATCCTCCTCTCCTCATTCGTATAACTTCGTATAATGTATGCTATACGAAGTTATTACGTAGTTCCATCCAGCTCCATGAATTGACTAAAATTTTAATGAAAATGAAAAGTGCTTTAATAACCATATTTTATCTTTCTTGCCTTTACAGTGGCATCTGAAATACAGGGATTAAGAACAGTTGAAATAAAGAAGGTAACTTGGGAGAGAGAGTATAAACTCTAGTGTCAACATAAACTCTAGTGTCTTTTGAAACATCTGCATATGTATTTTCTTGTTAACCATCTCACTGTTTTATAGTACCCATCTGAAAAAAAATATGTATTTCTCACAGTGGAAAGCACAATGCAGTCTTTGTTGAATTTCCTGGTCATATACTTCTTTGAAAAGTCATTGTTTGTATATTCTTTATTGCCAAAAATGTCATCAACCAGACCCCACACAAAATAGTACCCTGCCTATCTCACTTCTCATACTGATAAATAAGCCTTTCCCTTCAAGAGATATTTCCTTGTTCTTCTGAAATAGATTCCGCTGACAGCCATGCACACAAGAGAAGGTAAAAGGAGCTATAATTTATTGAGCTGTATGCTGAACACTCTGACACTTCATGTCATCATCATGCCACTTAATATCCACTGTAGCCCTCTGTGACAGGCACTGTTATCTGCATTTTGTAAATGAATTCTAGGGATTTATTGAGAGGAATGGACTTTTCTAGGTCACAGCATTTTTAAGTGTAGGTTCCTGGATTTGAACACAGGTCTCTCTGATTCCAAAATTGTGGTCTTTTCACTTTGTGAGTTTACCTGCTTTTCAGAAGTCCCATAACATAATGTTTATTTAGCACATCTTGATTTCTTATACTTCTTGAATGGATAACTTATTTTCCTAAGCCACACTAAGGACCTGTGTCAAATAAAATAATGCAGTTTTCTTGAGCTTCATTTTCTACCCTCACACCTAGAAGATCAGAGTTGACTATAGAATATTGTGCTACAGGATAAACAAAAGGTCAATTAAAAATATTGCTTCAACCAAAATATGATATGTGTTTTATGTCAGGGGCCTACTGACTCACTGGGAATCAGCATTGCTGGAGGAGTGGGCAGCCCACTTGGTGATGTTCCTATATTTATTGCAATGATGCACCCAAATGGAGTTGCAGCTCATACCCAGAAACTCAGAGTAAGTTTTACTAATGCTGGAGGGGTCCTAGCAAACTTAGCAAAAGTTTTTTTTTTGTTGTTTTTTTTTTGCAAACCTTTTGTATCTAGCTACCTGTTGCAAGGCAGTTTTATATATCTGCATCTGCCTTTAAATCACGTAATCCAGCCACAGCAGGGCTTGCTTTGAGTAAAAGATAATGGATATTAAAAGAAAGGAGAAATGATGTCGTGGAATGCAAATTTGCAAGTAAATGAAATGGAAGATTTATAGTTGTTTAATAAAGTTTTTATATATTTGAAACTCTGTGGAATAAGATAAAAGAAAACAAAGTATTTTCAGAACACCAGTATGAAGTGAATTGTTTTCCTTATATGTTTCATTAGTTTAAATGCCGATTTAACTTTTTTAAATTGAAAAGTATAATTTGTATTTACTTATGAACTTTGCAGAAGTTTAATGTAAATAAAACATTTAAATAATGATTTATAATGCTGTAAACTATACAGAACTTGCTACAAAGTTGAGAGATTATTCAGACACAGAGCATTAGGATGGCACTTATGCTAACTGCCTAGCTCTAAAATCATGTGAAGATCCCATTAAAACAACTCAGCTTCTCCAACTAAAATCTCTATGACCTCTCTATGCCTCAAACAGGGTCTCAGAACATGACCACCTCTTAGTTTAAGTACTGACTAGGTTGGGAATGGTTCAACATACTTTGATATCTAAATTTATGATTGACACTTAAAAACTGGTTGTACATGTAGCACAGGGTCAGCAAACTTTTCCATAGGGACAGATAGTGAGTATTTTAGGGCTTTGTGGGACATATGATTCTCTGTTGCAACTACTCAACTCTGCCCTGTGAAAGCAGCCAAATAAGCATGGCTGTCTTCCAACCAAACTTTATTAACCAAAACAGGCAGTGGGCCAGATTTGGCCCGTGGGCCTTAGTTTGCCAACTCCTGACTTGGTAAGATTATAAAAATAATAATGTCCAGAGAAATTCTGTTTTCTAAATGATATTAATATTTTATTCTTTTAATAGGAATTAACATCTTACCTAGGAGAAATGAAGGGAAGGGAACAGTGACTTTGTTTCTCTTCTTCCTCCTCCCCCGGAGACTATAGAACTGTACCATTATGTTCCTCTTCTTTCTGTGGTTGCTGCATCTTGGGCTGCACCTCGCTCAGCCAGTGAGCGGGAACCGGTCTGTATGTGGGATCCGAACCCTCGGCGGGAGCGCCACCGCGCTCCCAAGCAGCGCACTGTAGCAGTGCGCCACCGGGCCGACCCTTCTTATTTCTTTTCTTATGATGTACTGGAAACTGTGATTTTTCACCTGAGTCTACCTTGAAATGCTTGGCATTCAAAGTTTCACTTCCCTAAACTTCATTAACCTAAAGGTACTTTATTCCATTCAATAAAACACAGATTTACCTCATTTTGGAAAATTAAATAACTGTAAGAGTATTAATACCATGCACAGAATAAACTATCAAGAAATGGTAGTAGTAGTTGTACATTTATTATTCTAGAAAACATAAATATAAATTCAATACATAGCTTTCAGTTTTTATTTTTGTGTAATCATGTCTTTTGCTTCTGAAGTTGTATGCAAATCAACTTATACCAAACTTTCCAAAATTTCAGTTGTTTGTGTACATCCTTTATGATGTTTCCCATGTCTTTATATATCTGTACTATTAATTACTATATTTTTCTTTAAAGTAGATTAATTTTTAAACAAATGTGATTAAAAGAGAAATTGTATCTCACTACTTTAAATGGAAAACCAGTATCATTTGCCATAAACATAACATAATTATGAGGAAAAGCTCATAAATTTTACCAAGATATTATTGTCTACCAAGGGTCAGAACTTGAGGCCTTCTTCCTTTGTTAGAAAGTGAGAATTGCAAGAGAATTGCAAATGTTAGAATGGAGTCAGTAACTCAGTGGAGACTCTTTCCTGGACTTAAAAGAACTGAAAGGTATTTTCATACATTTCTCCTTATGTGATTCAATATTTACTAGTTCCTTGTCAATGCCACCTAAAATGCTGATCTTATGTTATGCTCCCTCTTTGGAAAATCTCTATTATGCAAAAATCAGGAAGGTTTTATCTATAGGACTCCTTTAAAAAAAAATGTGAAAACCAGCCAATTTCTATTCTTAAGAGTATTCTTAGCTGCAGAGGTTGCCTAAGATTTTGTTTGTACCATAAAGCTTTCACTAAAATCAGAATTGGGTCATTGTGTCCAGTGCTTTAGTTTTGACAGTCCGAGTTTGAAATAAAGGACACATGACATAAGTTAATGGAGTAAAATTAATGTTGTGGTAATATTAAATAAAGCTAATGCCTCTTGCACCTGGAGGGCTACACAGATGGCAGGCATACCTAATTATGCATCCTGCTGCCTTTAAGTGTACTGATAAAAATCTCTCAACTGAGTATAAAATATGTTCATTCGCTGGCTCCAGAAAAGTTTGAGTAAGGCAACACACACAAAAAACACTGCCTACCATGCTTACTTTTTAAGGGAAAAAAATACAATTCTCTTAGTTAAATGAAATAATTAAATACCTGATTATTAAAACAAGTCATTATGGTCTCTGTCCTTTCTGCGAATATTAAAATATATGTCTGTCACTTCCATCAGAAAAAGATTATTCTCAAACCAATAAGGAAGTACTTATTTTTACTCACTACACATCAGTTAAAAAGAATGATTTACTAGTAGAATCCTAAATAAATTTATCTAGGTATAAACTGGATTGGGTAATTATCACTCAGATATTTATAAATTTGTTCAATTCTTTAAGAAGTAGCTTCTCTAGAAAATATGTTGCTATAATTAAGTGTACAGATAATATATTTTGCTACAGATATCTCAGAAATGAAACTTAACTTTTTAAGCTTATTGTGAGTTCATTTAAGGAATGTGAATTTCTATCAACTTCATTTTATTGCAGTTGGATACCTATGCAGTTACAGAAACACCAGCAACTTCTACTTTCAGCTTTAGATAGATTTTTAAAAATCCTTTCTATAGGGCCGGCCCGGTGGCGCACTGGATAAGTGCGCCACTTGGGAAGCGCGGCGGCGCTCCCGCCCGAGGGTTCGGATCCCACATACAGACCGGTTCCCGCTCACTGGCTGAGCGAGGCGCGGGAGC